GATCTTCTAAACATACTCCCTTATGGATGGATTCTGGGGAAAGCACAATTTTAGGTCCAAGTGGAGACCTTGCTATGCTGGTTTTTAACCTAAATATTCCAATCTACTGAGTTATTTTAAATCTTGATTCTATAATCTCTGGTAATAATGCTACCTCCAAAGTCTGTAGCATCTGCTAATTTTGTATACATGCCTTTTAAGATTTGATTCAAGTCATCAATTCCAAATAAATAACTTCGTTTGACTGCAATAAATTATACAACTCTATATTGAAAATTGTCTATGGGAAAGAACTAAAAATATAATCATTACAATAACAAGTCAGCAATCATGAATGAGGAAATTCTAGAATAACAGCTTTTTGAATATATAATAGATGATAGCTAATGTAGAAGGTGGCAGACATTAGTGATTTATACTACTGAAAAATAGTGAATGTAATATTGAATTCAATACAAAATTCATATAAAGAATCGACTTGGCCAAGGCAGGCAGATCATGAGGTCGGGAGTTCGAGACCAGCCTGACCAATATGGTGAAACCCCGTCTATATTAAAAGTACAAAAATTAGCTGAGTGTGGTGGTGGTCGCCTGTAATCCCTGCTACTCGGGAGGCTGAGGCAGGAGAATGGCTTGAGTCCAGGAGGTGGAGGTTGTGGTGAGCCGAGATCGCGCCATTGCACTCCAGCCTGGGCAACAAGAGTGAAACTCCACTTGAGAATGTAATTTCTTTGTAACATAGAAGTATTAGTCAAATATGTTTTCAGTACAGTTCAACATGTACATATTTGCAGGAGAAATTCTTAGACTTCTCTAATAATTAAGCTCATGTGAGCTATCACAGGACAGATGGCTCTGCTATTTAAAACAAATTATAACCTTTAAGGATGAACATGTACTGCTCAAATCTAAGTGTAAATTTGCTTTGCATTTTATTTGAGTGGTACTGTTATTTAATAGTTGAAGCTGATATGAAGATTTTAGAGCTTTTTTAAATAAAGTAAGAATACATCCTAAATGACAAAAATATTAGTCAGGCAAAGCTTATTTATGCAATTTGCTAGTATTTCTGGAAGCTTTAAAAAAGGCTTTTCCTGACATTTAAATTATCTGTTCTATTGGATAATTTTGGAACTCAAAAGAGATGACAAATTTTTATCTTGTTTTTTCCCCCATGCCTTAAAGTTGACATGTGTGTAAAATTTGTATAGCAATTTTAACTTTTATGTCAATCACTGATGTGTCATCAAAGGGTGTGTGTAACCTAGTGTTCACTGATGGCACACTGAATATTTTTCCCCAAATTCTCTACTTTTGATGATGAGAAATCTTCTGACCATTCAATTGAAATCGCTGTCTAGTCCAATGTTTAGATTTCAGTGTTTTGGGCTGGGTGCAGTAGTTCATACCTGTAATCCCAGCACTTTGGGAGGCCAAGGTGGGTGGATCACCAGAGATCAGGAATTCGAGACCAGCCTAGCCAACATGGTGAAACCCTGTCTCAACTAAAAATACAAAACTTAGCCAGGCGTGGTGGCACGCTTCTGTAGTCCCAGCTACTTGGGAGGCTGAGGCAGGAGAATCGCTTGAATCCAAGAGAAGGAGGTTGCAGTAAGCCAAGATTGTTCCACTCCACACCAGCCTGGGTGACAGAGCGAGACTCCAGACTCCATATCAAAAAAAAAGGATTTCGTTGTTTACCTTTTGGTTTTTACTTTGATTGTCCTTGTGGTATTTAAAATGTGATTTTGTCTACAAGGTATCTTCAAAAAGTCATGGAAAATGAGTCTTAGAGAAAAAAACTACACATGGATTTAAAATTTTTTTCACCAAAATAGACTCATACTAACTTGTTATAGCATGTCTGAACAGGATTTAGTTTGAGGCATAAAGAAGCATAAGACATCAATTTGAAAAACGCCCCTATCAGAACAATATGAATTCTGCTAAAACTGAAGCAAGAACAAACATCAAATTTACGGTGAAACTTGGGTTTAAGAATTGTGAAATAATTGATGCTTTACTAAAGTTTCTGGGGACAGTGACCCCAAGAAATTAGGCCAGGCACAGCGGCTCACACTTGTAATCCCAGCATTTTGGGAGGCCAAAGTGGGTGGATTGCATGAGCCCAGGAGTTTGAGACCAGCCTGAGCAACATGATGAAAGCTCGTCTCTACTCAAAACACAAAAATTAGCCTGGTGTGATGGTGAGTGCCTGTAATCTCAGCTACTCAGGAAGCTGAGGCAGGAGAATTGCTTGAAACTGGGAGGCAGAGGATGCAGTGAGCCAAGATTGCACCACTGCACTCTAGGCTAGACAACAGCATGAAACTC